CAGCGGCCATACTCTCGGCAGATGGGCTAAACCAGGCTGAAGGTAAACAACAGCCCTTAAACCTGTTGGTGAGTTAAGGGGATGTCTACACCAAGCACATGAAGACTTTTGTTGCAGTGGCCATGAAGGTGGCTGAAGCAGATGCTGTGGACTGCTTAGAGCCTGGTCAGACATCAAAGATGCTGGTGTCATTCGCTGTAATCCTGAGCCACTATTGGTTGTCTGGCTTTTGTCCTACCATTGGACTTCGATGACTGGAGGAAAGAGTGAAGCTGATGACTTTGTGCAGCCCTCCCTCACTTAAATACTATTCGCGTGCAAGTTACGATGTCACTGTGTGATGTCATTGGTCCTCTTCAAAAAAATGAAGGATGAGCAACAACTCTAGAAGGATAAAACCCACAGGCAACTATCTGTTATTAGCCACATTTTGAAATAATGGAAAGTAATTCTTAATTACTATCATAGAGGGTGCATCGTAAAGTCATTAAGTCCGGGTTCCTGTTAGATGTCTGTAGCTTACTCCTTCTTTTCAGACCCTGCTCTTTCATTTTCTGCTGTGGAGCACTGTTACATGGAAGATTGTTGATGGTTTCAACTTAATTCAATACATCAAACATTTTCAGTGACTGTTATGTGCCAGGCTGACACTATTTGTGAGCAAAGTACCCTTCTTTTGTTATTGTCTGTGTATGACACAAATCCCAGTAGTGTATGTCATCTATACCAGAGTTCTGCCCAGTAGATATTGTTTGTGAAAACCTGCCTATTCCCTTCTCAAAACTTATCAGGGATGCTCTCTGTTCATTGATATGGCAAGCCTGTATTAAGAGCCTACTTTAGGTTAGGCAGTGGGCCAGGCACTGGGGATACAAGGATAAAAGTGAAACTCCCTGGCTTCAAGGAGCTTCTCTTCTATCAAGGGAAACTACTAAACACCGGTATGATAAACAGCAAACAGGCAAAATGTATGTACAGATTATTCCTAGAAAAAATTTAAAGAAATAAGGAAAGATGGAAAAGCACTATAAAGGATGTCATTAGAAATGACTAGGAAAAAGGCTGGTTCAGCCATAAGAAGAAGGAATGCATAGCTCTATTGGTGACCACTTTGATATCAAGAGGTTTAGTAGGTGACCTCAGTACAGAGGGTTTATGGGAAGACTTAGACAAGAATTAGGATGAAAAACATAGAGCAGTTACAGTCTGCATCATTGGAGGAGAAGGAACCCCTAATGGATAACAGATCCATCAAAGTATCATTGAGTTCTCTGTCTAATATTTGGACATCTAAAATGAAGTAGAAATTGAAGAGATAATTTTTCAGTCTCATAGTGGGCAAATTTTCAAAGAATTTTTAAATTTCTTTAATTTAAATTTCTTTCTTTTTCAGCTGAGGATGGCACAGTGATATAATGGTCATGTAGTGGTCAATTTTTCCAGGACATAATTGGGAACCTATCTCTAACCTCTAAACTCTGAGACTTTAGATTAGCTAATCATTTCCTTCTCCTCATTGGTATATGGGAAAGGAAAAATAATACCCAATGAGCGCTAGAATGGGATGAAAAGGAGATTAATAATGAAAGAGAATGGAAGAAAATCAGGGAAGCAAAGGCATAATGGATGGTGTATAAAACAGTGTATATTTATGAATTACATGAGGCTGAGGATTTTTTTTTAGAGAGAAAGGAAAGCAGACCATGTGTTATGTAATTTTTAAAAAAGTCTCATTTGCCTCCATATGTCCTTTCATTGTATTTTTGTACCTTTGCATTATTACCTTGTTATGGCAACAGTAAGTATTGTTGATAACATTTTTTACATTCAGCACATTCTTGATGGCCTTAAATAGCTGAAGTCACATAGCATCATAGACTTCAGGCGGGAAAAGACTTTAGTTGTTGTCAATTCCAACTTGGAAGAAACAAACCCAGAAATAGCATTTTGTTTTCCCAAATTTACACAGGTAATAAGTTGGTCTAAAAGTTTTATTCCACAAAAATATGATTTTTAGTGTTTTAAAAAATCGTTTTATACAATGAAGTTTAGTGGATAGAGAGAGGCAATGTAACATAATGAATAGAAACCAGACTCAAAGCTAGAAGACCTGGGTTCAAGTCGTGCTGCTGATACATACTGGCTCTGTGACCCTCAGAGCTCTTGGCAACTAACTGTCTTAAGACTTTGTCATATCTTACAGAGAAGGTGTCAACCTGCATTGGTAGAGGGAATTTCCTCACTCAGTCAGGAGTGAGGTCCAGTCTCTATTGCTTTATTTAAAAATAATATGGTATTTAGAAAATTGTCATACAAGTGAAACAACTCTTTCAATATGTTATATATGGCTAGCCAGAAAGAGAGTGTATATATTGTTTAGTTATGTCTGACTTCATGATCCCATTTGGAGTTTTCTTGGCAAAGATATTGGAGTGGTTTACCATTTCCTTCTCCAGCTCATTTTACAGATGAGGAAATTGAGGCAAACAGGATTAAGTGACTTGCCCAAGGTCACATAGCTAATAAATGTCTGAGGCCAGATTTGAGCTTAGGAAGATAAGTCTTCTTGACTGTAGGCCTGGTGCTCTCTCCACTGTGCCACCTCACTGCCCTATGTGTAAGTATATATGTGTACACATTTATGTACATTGCATATGATATAGCATAGGCTTATATTTGTAGAGCTGGAGGTGACCTTAGAAATCATACAGTTTAACCCCTCACTTTGTTGATGAGGAAGTTGAAGCTGAAAGATGTTAAATGATTTGCCCGATATCATCTAGCCAGTAAATAGCTCAGCTGGGATTTGAATACAGGTCTTCCAAGTCCAAGGTTTGATATTCTTTTTTTTTTTTTACTTAGAAACATTTTGAATGGAAAGTTTACATTTGTACATCTTTTTGAGGTTTGTTATTGCAATAACATTGGTGTTTGGAAATTACTCATTTGTATAGTTTCTTTTAGTCTGCTTGACCTTTCTACATTTGATATTGAAATTATACTAACAACTATGATCAATTAAATAATAATCATTCTTTCCCAACATATAAATCAAAATATAGTTATCTTATTTGCATACTTTTGGGTCAGATTTTCTAATAATACATAGAATTTACACGTACAAAGACATATACCTCAGTAAACTAATAGTAAATTACGTCATTTAAGACCTACTACTCAGAGAAAAATGTTGCCACCCTTGTTTGGCATTTATGGATTTTTACATGTAAATAGATTATTTTTGAAGCTGATGTCAGTTAAGGGACAATTTTCTTAGTGGTCCATGTAAGATAGAGAGCCACCTTTTTTAAGACTTGATTAGAACTCCTGTTGCTTAGGGCCAAAGAATATCTAAAGGGGTAGAAATCAGCCTTCTCCTTTCGATGATATTTTTTCAAGGCCATACTCCATCTTCCCTCTATCCTTTCTGCTATCTTTCCATATCCCTTTCTTAATCTCCTCCCCCATCACAAATCCTGAAGCTGGGTAGAAGCATCATGTGCTTAAGAAGAATGCTTTAGTACTAAAAATCTCTAATAAGAATATATCCAATTATTGTAGTTCTCAGGTAAGTTATAAATACAGCATTCATAAACACTTTTTAGACTTGGGTGGTTTTTTTAAAAGTATATGAATTGTGAAGGTATTGGTTTGGGAAATTAGACCAGCTCTCAGTCTTTTATTCCATTTTCTCTGTCCTTCAAATTTGTTTTCTCCTGTCTCAATTACCCAAGGGCAGGAGGTTTTAAAATTAGAATCTCATCAGCACAAAGGTTTCCAAATCCTTCGGTTCAGAGAGAAAAGGGCCACTCCGCCCCTCAAGAGTACCAGCATTTTCCACATGATTTTGTTCCTCTAAAGGTCACCTTTAATGGAAAGAACTGTGGATCTTTTACTGAAAAGGAATAAGGAAGCTAAGCAGGGTGTGTGTGCACACTTGAAGAGGAACGCTTTTGTTGTCCTCTGAAGAGACAGATATCACACATATGTGATGTCTTGATTGAATCTTTCCTACTCCATGAAATCCTTACCTCATGTTTATAATGTATCTAGACCTTTCTCCTTTTTTTTTCTTTTTTGAACAAATTTTCCCCTTTTGGTTCATTTCTAGTGTTTCACTCTTGTGGAAGTATGAAAAAGCTCATTTTAATTCTATGACTTTAAACTGTAATTGTAGCAGTAGAAAGAGCCTTGGACCCTAGAGTCAAAGGGACCTGGGTGTGAATCCCACCTGGGATGCTCACTTACCTTTGTCACCTTGGGCAAGTCCCTTCATTTCCCTGGGCCTTAGTTTTTCTCATCTATAGCATGGAAAGGGTAGACTAGATGGCCTCTAAAACATAGTTCTGTGTTTTAGCTCTAGTTCTGTGGCTCCAAGACATATGTTTGCCTCTCCCCAGCTTCCCCATTTGCTTCATTTCCCTCTATTAATTAGAGGAAATCACTGTAACCTATTTCCTAAAGCTGTTGTGAGGGTAAAGTGCCAAACGGAAGGTGCAAATCTGTGTCTGAAAAAAAAGTTGCATGCCTGGCAGACTTATCACATCCAAGATTTCTGCAAAATGGAGGCAAGACTGGCCATTTCAGGGAATTGTGATTGTTGATTGTGTGTGTGTGTGTGTGTGTGTGTGTATTTTGAATTCTTGAAACAAACAAACATTTCTGAAAGGGGGTTTATTTTGTTAATTGTTAATTCATTTTTCATTGAACTTTGCCATCAGGACATGAGATCAGTGGCAAGTACAACAGTTCACAGTGGGGAGGTGGGGAGAGGAATGGTCAGGGACCAAGTAAATGAAGTATGGATTCAATGAAGGGAAAGTTAGTAGAAATAGTTGTCCTTGGCAGCACTCTGTGATGTAAGTGTTAGGTGACAAATACCCCAATTTCCAGATAATAGCTCTTGTACAGCTCTCAAAATCAGGACTTATGAGCAGGAAGACTTAAGTCAAGACCCTAGTAATGGAATGCAGCCATCATTTGCTTTCTTTTCATTCTAGAAGTCCATTTGGACCCTTGCCGGACGTGGTGTCCTGTTGCCGACTGCCAGACTGTGTGCCATATTGAACAGAATAGCTCAGGACAGCCCACAAAGGTTGAATGTCCTTCTTGTCACCTGACATTCTGCTCATGTTGCAAAGATACCTGGCATGCTGATCGCTCTTGTCAGGACAGCCAGCCTGTTGTTGTCTTGCCAACAGAACATGGGTAAGACTGAACTAAATTGGTTAGAGATCTGTTATCTCAACAAGGGGGATTATGGTAGGGATTCCTTTAGTATGAAGGGTTGCTGCCAAAGTCCATTCTGACTCTCAAGTTCTGTGATCTGCCAACTTTTCTAGAACTCTAAATGCTCTTCCAGTGTTTTAAGTGCCTTCAGTGTGTCATGAAGTAGCCATTTTTTCTAAATTCTAATGCAACACTTTCCTTAGGAGCATACATAAATGTCATCAAAATGCTCCTGGAATTAAGAGAGTATTTCTTAAGAGATTATTTAGGGCCAAAGGGTTTTCCAGGTATTATCGAAGGTATAGAGTTTTTATTTGGTTTCCGTTGCCTCATCCAGTGGTGGGAGAGTCACTGTGGTCAGTAGGAATTCAATGGGAAATCCTGGCTCAGCCATGTATCTACTTCCTTATTTAATGTCTGTGTGCCTTAGTTTTCCTGCTTGTGTTTATTGGTTTGTTTATTCTTATTTTTATTTTTATTCTCCTACCTTCCTCCCAGGATGTTTTGAGATCTGGTTACTTTGTAAAAAATATTATATTGCATTGGAAACATTCACAGGGAAAGAAATCTTAAAATGCAATGGTGCAATGAATACTTATTGTCACATAGTTTGTATGTTATGTAAGAAATCGGGTTCTTTGAAGGTGGCACCCCTGCTTAGGAGGTGGTGAGATATGAATCAGTAAAACTTGTACCATCTGGTCCTGGGAGGTTTTTTATTAACACAGGAGTTCCCTGAGTATGACCTTCCTGTTTGATCCCTGGTTTGCTTGGGGCTATGAGTGTTCTGTATTAACAGGAACATAGCTCCCACTGTTACAGTCCATTCAGTGGAAAGACCCCAGCACTGCTTCCAAGCTGGTAGTGTGGCTTTTTAGGATTCTCAGTGTTACTACTGACATATCTTAATGTCCTTGGATATTCTGTGAAGAATTTACAGGATTAGAGGTCTAGCATAGATCACAGGCAGGTTTAATAATCTGACCAGCCAGATGTTGACTAGCCATTCCTGTCTTTCTCACACTGTGGTTGTGATATCTTTGATGGCCCTTATTAGCTGACTAGGGATGCTGGGAATGATTCACTTTTCCTTCTTTCTACTTTTCCCCCACTAGTGATTTCAACATTATTATCTACTACCTCATCTCAGTCTGGGGGGGGGAGGGGTTGTCACAGTTAATTTATTTATCGCAGCTCTTCCCTGTGTATTATAAGCAGCATAAGTAGTTGTCATTTCTGTCTCGTGTGTTGGTCATTATTCAGGTCTTGATTTTACTTTCTAATTCTTCACATGTAGATGACCATTTTTTTAGTCCTGGGCTCAATTCTCCTAACTTTCTGGCTTACCCCTAGGAGTTTCTCTTACAGTCAGTGTACACAGGGAATACCAATTCATTTTTCATACTAGCTTAGCAAATTACAGTTAGGGAGATAAATACATGCCAAGAAAAATGATAATAATATATTCCAAAACCAAATGTAAGTGGAGTTTTGGTTACCTGTACTTTTGAGTTCCCTGTGACATATTTGGGGTCTGTTGACCTTCTGTCCTCAATTTTCCAACCTCCCCTAAAGATCACATGGATATACATTTGTGGCTCCTGTGCATGCATGTGCAACCACAAACACACACATACCAGCATGGATAACAGAAAATTGACTTTAATTGTTGTCATTGGACCTGGAAATTCAATACAGATCCTTTCCAAGAAGGATGCTATGTTTTACTTAGACCACTTTCCTCACCTACCTTCTTACTTAGTTGATACAGCTGTAGTTCTTGCTGATTGAATAGTCCACATTTATTTTCTTACTCCTTGTTTTTCTCTTTCTAGGGCCCTCATTGGGATGGATGCAGAAGCTCCCATTAAGCAGTGCCCTGTTTGCCGGGTCTACATTGAACGGAATGAAGGCTGTGCTCAGATGATGTGTAAGAATTGTAAACACACGTTCTGCTGGTACTGTCTCCAGAACCTGGATGTAAGTTCTGATGCTGGGCCCCTTCCCATTGGGTGTTTGTCTCAACCCACCTGAATGAGAGCCAGCATTCTGCCTGCTTTCATTTTTTAATATGTCTAGTGGTCTCGAAACAGAAAACTTATTTTTCCTAAGAAAAAGGACTTCCCCAACTTTAACTGGTCTTTCTGTAGATCCTTATCTAAAGGCTTTCTCAACAGGTGGAATTTGGAGCATTGCCTTAACTGTTCATCAATATTTATTAAGTGCCTGCTATGTGCCAGGTACTGTGCTAAGCATTAGAGATACAAAGAAAGGCAAAAAAACAGACAGTCCCTGCCCCCAAGGAGCTTACAATTTAACGGGAGAAGATAACACATAAAAAGATGTTGGTAGGGGGAAGGGAAGAGTACCTTACTCAAAGGCGTGATAAATTCAAAGGAGTACAGCTGGTTGGGAACTGAAAGTATGGCTGCCCTGGGTGTCCTCCTTAAATGGAAGATCTGGGAGGAGCTCTCAATGTCCAACCTCCTCCCAGAGGGAGGGAGGAGCACCCAGGGCATAGGCTTGAAAAATAAAGTTTGCTTTGGGAGTATTTCTTACTCTCTGGGTGACACCTCAGCATGTTCCCAAGCCACTAAGTTGTTTTTCCATCTCTGAACCTGGAATAAATGTCACTATATCCCATAGATGTAATACGTTTATCCTCACCCCACCTCCCATAGAATGTAAGCGTCTTGAGAGAATGGAACATTTTGGGGAGGAGGTTGTATTTATATTCTAACATGTAGGACAATACTTTGAACATAGTAGGGCCTTGGTAAATTCTTTTTGAATTAGATGAGTTTATAAACTGCTCTGAAGGTAGTTCTCCATCCCTGTGCACACAAGCTAGTGCTGCCGCTCTATATTTAGGCACCTTTCCCAGGCAAAAAGTCTCTGGTCCAATTATCATTCTTCATCTCCTCTCTTCTCTCCACCTCAATATATGACTGAACCTTTCCTTTCTTTATAATCAAGTTTGCCTGTTACAAGTCCATAGTCAAGTGTTAATCTCCGGGCCAATAAAGGAAGGGATATAGATGGAGTGGTGAGAAGGCCTATGTGGGGTTCAGTGCCCTAGAGTGCCAGGTGATTTGAGCTTGATTAGAAGTGACTGTAAATTTGACCTGCAAAAATTCATCTCTTTCAGTTCATTCATGATACAACACAGTCATTCCAGGGTTACTACTGATATTCATGGACGGGTTAATCAGACTTCCAGGGCTACATTCTTCAAATCTGGTGGTTTACTGAGCACAGTGTTTCTCAGCCCTTCCTTTTACATGGTTGGGGTCATTAATTAGACCAGAGGTTCTTAACCTTCCTTGTGTCATGGATCCCTTTGGGCATCTGGTGAAGGCTATAAACCCCTTCCCAGAATAGTGTTCTTAAATATATAAAAGACATAGGATTACAAAGGAAACCAATTCTATTAAAATATTGTTTTCAAAATATTAACAAAACAAACATGTGGACCCTAGTTAAGAACCCCTGCTATGATTGTTCTTAATCATTTGCCACGTACCTTATTTTGCTCCTTGTATCTGGTATGTCGGTTCATTCCCTCCAAACTGGTTGACTAGAATTGATGGACAAAAGATCGTAAATTCCTCAAGGGGTGCAGATATTCTTTGCTTTTTCCTTTTGTATCCTTACTGCCTAGCACAGTGCCTTGCACTTAATAGGCTCTTAATAAATGTTTGTTGAATTGAAATGAGCAGCTTGTGCATAGTGTAGTAGATACCAACTGATTGTTCAGTAAACATGTGCTATTTGTTCACCCTCTGCCTAAGGTCCGATCCATCAAAATGAAATCCATTATCCAAGATGGCTTCTAGCTAGAGAAGGCATGAACCTGTTTGGTCAAATGGTTGCTTTTGCCCATCATCCATCTCTTCCACAAATATGGGTTTTTTAAAAATTGTTAATGGGCAGGCTCTTGATCTAGACAGAAATTAAGGTAGCAACAGAACTCCTTCTCAGGCTATTGTTTTTTATGTAGTTTGATTTTAACCCTTTTGAGAAAGACCATCATAGGAAGCCTGCCACAATTATAATATAGGACATTCTGGAAGAGGAATTAAAACAGGATTGTATAATCCCTTGCTGGCATATGGCATATCATGCTTTGTGAATAACTGAAATGAATTCATTTGAGGCTAAATGAATGATAGAATTGACAATTTTCTCTTCATTCCATTAGTGTATTGGAAGGGGCCATATTCAGATTCTGGGCTCATGACATAGTTACGCCTTCTGTAGAAAACAAAGAGATAAATGTGCACACCAGATCTCAGTCTTCTTTGGCAGATTGATTTGTGTTTTGGTGAATGGGTGCTGCAAAGAACACACAGTTCTGGCACTTGAGATGAGATGAAGCAGATGTTAAATGGCTCATAACACTGACATCAGATGTGGAAGGAAGCATCTTGTTCTATTCATCATTTTCCTATTCATCATTTTTGCTCTGTTTAAACCAATGGTTTCAGCTTTGGATGCATATTGAGCTGTGTTGCTCGGTGCAGATTTCAGATGGTGGGTGTCTGGCTTCTAGGAATGTCTAAGGATGGAGCTTGAGGGGTCATTGTCCAAATCCCAATCTGGGGGCATTCAAGTGAAGAATGACTTCAGATTTATTTCTCTTGCTGATTTTGATCCATTTGTAAATAAATTTTTATGAAAATGCTTTGAATCCTAGATTGATCCAACTACTCCATGGGATCTCTGATCTTAGTGATGTAGGTAATCTCCCTAGTAAGGGATCTCCCATGCTTGGAGGTCCTGTGACACACTTGTTCATGCCCTTCCATAAGGGTATCATTCCTAGAGCGTTCCTTGCCATCACGTGCCCAGTCCCTTTCCTAATTTTACAAGGGGAGGATATACAGCTTGTTTGAAGATAAGTAAGCATAGAATAAATACAAAATAAACACATAGGGATTTGTTGGAGGGGAAAGGATCTAACAACCAGGAGAACTGCATTAAGGGAGGTGGCACAGAGGTGGGTAGAGAGAGAATTCAGGCATAAACGACCATCTGTGCAAAGTGTGGAAGCAAGACCACATTGGTTTCCCCAATTCCTTTTGCACTTACTACCTATACCACATAATTAAGACCTTGTAAAATACTGCTTTGTTTTCTAATTGTACCACATGGTTTAGCACATAGAGATAATCGTACTGTTCCACTTAGTGCTATTCTTTTCACTTGGGAGAAATCTTTGATGTTGACATTGAGTGAATCTTATTTTCCCAGTAAGCATCTGTGGACTGTCTTTTATTCCTCCGTGACACCTAGCTCAGTGGCAGCCACATGTTAGGTATTCATCAAGTACTCATCTGCTGGTTTTTATTTTATGCATGGTTGATCTGCCCATACAAGGTACCATATATTTAAGAGAGGACTGGTATGAGCAAAGATTATTAAACTCCCTTTTGGAAATATCTAGGAACTGTCTCTGATTTCTTATCCCTTTATATGTGATAACTTCTAAAGCCACCCAACCACATGTCTGAAGATCACGGGCTTGCTGGGAGGTGTATTTGATAATCACATTTACCTTTGATTCCTGGAGCTCCTCTTAGCAGAGTTGTCAATTAGGATTTTTTTGTTTCTTGTACTGAGGTCAAGCTCCACAAACCATGCCCGAGGCGAGTAACATGAAAGGCACCCTAATTTGAGGGGGATGAACATTGCCCCATAGTAGAGAGACAGAGGCCCTGGGACACCAGTGCATGACCTCTGCTTGGCAGGCTGCTGTGGGTGCGGGTGCAACATCAGGGAGGGGTGAGCTAACCTCATTATGCTAAAAGGACTTCAAGGGCTGTCAGCATCCTCTAAATTTGGTGCCCATGGGCAAAGCCCCAGCTGTCTAGCCCTAGTTACCATTCTGACACTTGGAAAGAAGGATTTGTTAGGCATGTATTCTTCTCTCAGTTTAAATTGGCTGCTGACTGGGACTCCCTCCTTTCTTTCAGAATGACATTTTCCTCAGACATTATGATAAAGGGCCCTGTCGGAATAAACTGGGTCACTCCCGAGCCTCTGTGATGTGGAACCGAACACAGGTACTGTGATTTGAAAGGGAGTATTGGGATAAGTCAGGTGTGCTATGTCTAGGAGGATTTCTGTCTGGGAAGCTTCCTGTGGCATATAGTATAGCTAGTTATAAGTGATGGAGGAGCATGACAGCCTAGTGCAAAAGGCTGTATGTGAGGCTGAGTAAGAGCAACAGTCCCTCAGAGAACCAGAAGAGTGGTCTCAATATTGCCTATAGCAACAGGTAGTGTTTAGTGGATAGTGTTCTAGGCTTCGAATCAAGAGGACCTCATTCAAATCCTACCATTGACTCGTCCTAGCTGTGTGACTCTAGGCAAGTCACTTAACTTTTATCCTCATGCGTAAAACAAAAAGATTGGATTTCATGGCCTCCGAGGTCTCTTCCCAGCTTTAAATCTATGATCCTATGGTTCTGTGTAGAATTGGAAGCACATATTCTCTATTCTGCTGACATAAGGAGGAATTATTCTGGTTTTTTGCCATGAGCATAGGTCTAAGAGAAATTAAAGCAGACGCAGGAAATTGTTGAGGTTATTGCTGTCACTTAGCTACTCTGATTATACAGCTCAGTGTATATATAAATTACAAAATAGGGGCCTAACATAAGTCCCTTAAGTGGCGTAGTTATTTCTCCCACCCAGAATTGTTTTGGGTTCATTAAGGGTCCCTTGCTTTTCAGCCAGAGCCATCATTAACAATAACTGGCATTTATATAGTGCTTTAAGTTTCTTTGGGAAGCTAGGTGGTATAGTAGATAGAGCACTAGTCCTGGAGTCAAGAAGACTCCTCTTCCTGATTTCAAAACTGGCTTCAGACACTTACTAACTGTGTGACCTTGGGTAAGTCATTAACTCTGTTTGCCTCAGTTTCCTCATCTGTAAAATGAGTTGGAGAAGGAAATGGCAAAGCACTGCAGTATCTTTGCCAAGTAAACCCCAAATGATGTCATGAAGAGTAAGACCCAACTGAAAAACAATTAAACAACTTAAGTTCCTTACGTATTATCTCATTTGGGCTTCATTACAGCTCCATACCATAAATAGTTAATATTCCTGCTTTATAGATGAAAAAAACTGGGATCATGTGAGATTAAGTGCTTGCCCATGGTCAAAAAGTTACTAATTCTCAGAGACAGGATTTGAACTTGGATTTTCGTAACCTGTGATTCCCAAGCCCGTGCTGTAGCTGCTATATAATGTTGCATCACCTAACCTCCTATAAATTGGTATTACTTACTTACTGCAAAGAGAGCCCTCATCTTTTGGTCGTGCCAGGGTTATCAACAGAGCTAGATTCGGAGCTGGACTCCTGGCTCCTTACTGTGTTTATGATGCTGGACTTTCCTGCTTCTGCAGCTCTGGTTCAGGCTGTGGCTGGACCACAGTTAAAGCTCATCATTATTGTTTCCTGTGTATGTATTGAAGTGGACTTGTGTGTACTATACTATAAGAACACTTGATTATTGGCTTACACTGTACTCTTGTCTTTAATTTTTCAGGTTGTAGGGATTCTTGTGGGATTGGGCATCATAGCCTTGGTGACCTCGCCTCTGCTGCTACTGGCCTCCCCCTGCATCATCTGCTGTGTTTGCAAATCCTGTCGGGGCAAGAAGAAAAAGCATGACCCACCAACTACCTAAAAGCCTGCACCTTGTGGGCATGCATGTACAGGATACGTGAGGTATCTTGAGTGAGGACCTGGTTACGGTGCCCTCCTTAGCAGACTCGTCTCCTTATCCTTGCCAACCTTTGGAAGTGCCTATTGTCTACAGGCCTTGAACTTGCTTACAAGTCTTCGGTTTGGGGAAAAGCTAAGCTTTGTGTTGCTATTTGAAAAACACCTGGTTGTAAAGTCCAGACTATGAATGTGGAATATGTCTGGAAACTTTGGGGTTGAATGGGAAGGACCAGCATCATTTTGTCATCTGAAGCGCCATGATTTCTGGACTGTTCATCTTGCGGCCAAGGAGAAGGAGCCTGAGGAAACATCTCCTGTCACAACAAACTGTGTTTCCATGATTATTACATGTATGACAGGAGTGGTAGGGGAGACTTACCTGAAGCTCCATGATTCCTGCACTGGACAGAAGAAGGAGCCTGAGGAAACTCATCTCCTGTTACAACAAACTGTATTGTCATGATTATTATCTGTATGATAGGAGTGGTGGGGGGGAGAGATAGAAATGCCATCTTGGCAAGATATGCTTATTTTTCTACCATGATAGAGTAGAATGCGCAGGCACAAAATCTTCAATGTGTGTGTATGTGGGTGGGGGGAGTGTTGAGGTGGGGAAAGATTCACCTAACAAAGAAAAGATCTAAGACATACAGCCAACCATATATGTTTGGGGAATGAATCTATAGAAATGGTATCTGCTTCTGTGAAGGTAAAAATAGGTGTTTGGTGTTAGGTAAGAGTGTCATGTTCATAATATCTGCAGAAAGTTCTGGGTTGTTTCTTTGTAACCTCACCAGGGGAAGAGAAGCCTTCAGAAGGGGTCTGTTTTGAATAAGAGGATTCATGGAATGAGAGTAGTGGTAATACGCCTGTTCCAACATCTCCACTTACCACCAATTTTCCTAGGAGACCCTTGTCCTCTAGTTAAAGGACCTATTTTAGACATGTGTTTTATGTGAGAGAAAAGAGATCAGTGTGGTCGAAACCCTCTGAAGTCTTCGTTGTAGAAAACTGTAGGCACCATAGTTTGGCCCTAGAGTCTTAGAGCTTTAAGATGTAGAACGGGGCCTAAAAGCAGATCCTGTCAATAAATATAGGTCACAAATCCCCTGTCTACTGTATATCCATCTGGTCTCTACCTTGAAAGAAATCCCCATTGTGCATCCATGTGAAGCCAGTTTAGAAATGCCCAAATGTAATGAAGATAAACAGTTCCTAAGAAAAGGAATGAAAATCAGATCATCCCTTTCACACTGAATATACTCTGTTTTGAACTGGCCACCAGATCTGTTACTAACTGAATATGTCCTGTGTCTTGTCATAGCAATAGAGAATAGGAGTCTAGTGCCATGCCAGGATGGAAAGCAGAATTTTTCGTTCCCTTAGTGTTTTTCTTTTAGAGCAGGTTCTCCCATTGGCTGAGCACAAGATGTGGATTTCCAGTGCACATAGACAGAATTGTACAATTCATGCAGACTACAGTCCCATCTCCACCTCCTTAGTTGGCAGTTTCTTGAGTTTCAGTAGCCAAATAGAAAGCCAGTGACCTAGAGGCCTGTTTCTGATCATGAGCCTCTCTGTACCTAGGCTGATCCTCAGAGGTCAATGGGGCCTTTCCCTCAGCTCATGATCATAGCTTTTAAAGCTTGATGGGCTCCATTAGAGCCACCAAGCTGGTCAGCTTTTTAGAACCCTCCACACCCCAGTGAGGCCTCTAGGTAGAGGACATTAGTGAAAAAGCACCAAATAGGGTGCTAATTTAAAAAACCAATTTATAACAGGTTGGTTGAGATGAAAATGCGCAAGCTCCATTTTTCTGAGACTCATGTCACTTTATGGATGCTTGGGGGGTCTGCTTTTCCTATAGCTCCGTAACTTTAACTTTTTTAAGGACATCTCTAGTATATTTGGTTGGTAGTCTATGCTTAGTGCATAAAAAATTAAATAAATTCTGATCCTAGGGGGTTGTGGTCATCTTCCTCTATTCAGAAACTATCTGGATATACAGTATTTACTGATGTACTTGGCTAGTTGACATAGAAGATGGCCATAGTACAGGGCCCAGTCAGTCACATATGCATTATTAGAGGACAAAGGTTTGCTCAAGCAAGAAGGTAGTGGGGATATACATTTTTAAAGCACTTTAAGTCATACATGTTATATATTGATTTGTCTTTTTTTTTTTTTTGGTATCCCCAGCACTTAGCATAGTGCTTGTCACACAGTAAGCACTTAATAAAGGCTTCTTGATTGATGGTGTTGTATTAAACATGCACATTTTTATGATTTGTAAAGATTATAGGTAAGAATTCTGGGGAAACTTATGGCATGGCCTCCAAACAAAAATACTTTAAAGCTCTTCGAATAGTTATGTAAGTGTCATTGCTTTTCACTCTCCCCCTGCCTACCTTCCTTTGGTTTTTAACTAAAGATGGCAAGCACTCACCTGTTGCCAGTGGTGCTTGCTGTGTGCCAGCTCTCATGGAATGGTTACTGGTTGTTTCCTCCCTGGAACCTGCTGTCTCAGTGTTGGCAAGGGTGTTTCTTTATATGGTGAAAGCAATCATAAGCAATCAAAGAAACTTTATTTCTCTGACAGAAAAGACATGAATTTCTCTTGCCATATTTCATACTTTGGTATACTCATTGCTGCAAAGCAGCTTACACCTGGGGCTGATTTTAGTAAGTATAAAAATAATAGCTAACATTTATATAGCACTTTACAATTATTTCACAACAATTCTGAGAGGTAGGTATATTGTCCCCATTTTACAGATGGGTAAACTTGAGATTAAGTGACTTGTCCAGGGTCACACAACTAGGACCTGTATGAGGCTGGATTTGAACTCAGATCTTCGTGACCCCAGGCCTGGCACTCTGTCCAATGTATCACCTATTTGCAGCAAAAGAGAGCCTTCATGACTGTATAAAGGAATGGGGGAGGGAGCATCCATTATCAGGCCAGGTCTCAGGAACCTGCCTTCTCAAGTTGTGTCTGTGACTTTATTTATTAGCCTAGGAAGCTTTCAAAGGGCTAATATGTAGGCTCAAGAGAATTCCAGTTAGAGCAAAGGTTTTAAGAAATTAACCCAGTTATTTTTTGAAGGATGCCTGATGGAGGAAAGGTAAGATCTCACAAACAGCCAAATTATCTGGCAGGTGACGGACTGAGGCAGTTACTTGAACGTTGAATGTTAACTGTGTAGACGGTGTCCCTCAATCTGGGCGGTGAAGGGAGCCAGGAGATTCTAAATATAGCTGAAGGCACTGGCAATGTGGATTAATTATAAACAGGAAGGATTTGTAAATATTCCTGTCAAGCCTGCTATGTAACAATATTAGCTAGCCAGATGAAAAGATGAAATTGGACTTTGTCTCCCTAACAGACCTTTTGAGCCTGCCCTGTCCTGGTAACGTCAGCATCTTAATAGTGGGGTTGAAAATCATAGCATGGCTTAGAACTGGGGTGTTGTAGCCATGACCTTTAATGTTTGAGGATGTTGTGGTGCCAACACGTGATTTTTATTTTCAAAGTGTTACAATAAAGTAGAGAATTTGGGAGTGCAGACTAACTTCTATTAGGGGTGAACATCTTATAAAGCCCAGATCTGACCAGTTGAAATCCTCATACAGAAACCTTCAGTGACTTCCTGTTGTTGCCCATAGAACAAGAAGATAGAAAGCACGTTACCTGGCCCTCCACACTTGACCCAGCGTACCTTTCCAAACTTATTTCACATGATTCCTTTTTACATACTCTAATATTTCTGCCAAAATAGACAGCTAGTTGTTTCCTGAACATGGCATCTCCTACCACCATACATTTGTGGAGGTCATCATCTGTGCCTACAATGTACCACTTATCTTTGTCAGCTCAGGTGCTAAAACTTTATGAATTTCTTGAATTATTTTAATTAATTCCTTTTTATTTTTTGGAGGCAATTGGAGTTAAGTGACTTGCCCAGGATCACAGAACTAGTAAGTGTCTGAGGCCAAATTTGATTTCAGGTCCTCCTGACTCCAGGGACAGTGCTCTATCCACTGCACCACATAGCTGCCCCGTGAATTACTTTCTCTAACTTCCAGCTTTCTCACCCCCAGATGAAAGTGATCTTTCTACTCTCAGCTTTTCCTAGAGCACTAGGTTGGGATCTCTCCTTCACTTCCATAACACTTTAGCTTGTATTATAGTTAGCTGAGAACATGTTGTATTGCTCTCATGTCCAGTAAAACGTAAGTTTCTTGATGGCAGGAGCTGCCTTATAAAAAAAATTATCACCCAGCCTTGCATTTAGTAGACCCTTAATAAATATTTGCTGAATGAATCAGTTTCATCCAGAAGAGCTGTTTTAGCACTTCCTTGATCTTTTGTTTCTGTTTAAAATAATTGATTTTATTTTGATTTCTGGGAGAGGCAAACCAGGACCATAACTGCCTAATTAAGTGGCTTTTACAATCCTAAAAATTCTTGTTCTGGCTGTGATTATTTGCTCTGGTCTTCAAATGCATCCTGAGAAAGCAAATAAGAGATTTCTGTTGCAGCTGGTATCATGCAGTCCTTATTGCCCACAGCTTCAAAAGCTCTGCCTTATTATCATTTGTAGATAAATCATATTTTTCTGAGCCTCTGATTTTCATTCTCTTTTCTAAAACATTGAAAATCTGATTATTTATTGCTGTTTGTTTCCCCTCACTTCTATCTCTCTATTTGTAAATTATAAATAAATGATTGCTCCCATGTATATAGATTCATGTACTTAATAAATATTTAACTTTAAGGGCAATAGGAGTATAATTAAGCAGAACAAATTTTCACATGAACATCATTAATATTTTTTAGGGTTTTACACTATTGCTGGAAGGTCACTATGGTCTTAAGGGCCAATATTTTGTCTCAGTAATGATATTGGATTCTATCTTCTTGCCATTTTCCATTTGTTTAATAGCTTCTTATTTTATTCTCTTTTATCTTTTATGCTTCCTTTTCAATTAAATCTTTAAGAAAATACCAAGGGAGTATTAAATTGGAACTTTAGAATGAATAAATAAAACCCCTTCAGTACTTAATGAAATTGCCCTTTTTTGTATTGGTATCTTCTTGGTAAATCTGGTTCTCATGTCTTCTGCAACCAGATGACTTCAGGTTCAAGAAACATTTAAGTGCCTACTAGGTATATGCAAGCACTGAAGAAAAGGAAAGAGGTAAGAACAGGGCATGATTGCTGGTTCATGCTGTGTTGACTCATCCAGAATTTCAGGCTGAATGACTGCTCTCATCGATGAACCTGTTATCTTACATTACAGAGGGTTCTCTGGAAAGAGCACTGCATTGTCTATATATAGTCAGAGGACCTGGGTTCAAATCCCCACTGCTGTCCTCTGGGCAAATTTGGATGACATCTACTGTCCCTTCTAGCTCTAAATCGTAGGCATAACTACTACATAGGACACCATTGTTGGAATTTTTGGTCATTTCTGATTGTACATATGTTGCAAGGTGTTAGATAGCATTGTTTACTGTAACAGGTGTTTCCTTTTATTGGTTAAATTGTTTTTTACATGCATTTGGTAATGTTGGAAATCAAAATTCCATTTATTCAGTTGGCCTACAGGAGGAGAGTTGTTTATCCAAAGTTAAAAATGAATTCTAGAAATAGGTTAATTGTTACCGTTGCGGTTAAGAAAGCCCTTAAGGATTCTTCTATAAACAGGTGGTAATGGATGATTTCAATATATTGGATATAATCTGCTCTTGTTAGAGGCATTGTGGCATAGTGTATAGAGAGCCATCCTTGAACAGCCCCAAAGACCTGGGTTCAGTTTCCTCCTTTGACTGAAACTGTGGCTCTGAGCAGGTCTCTCTAAGACTATACATTGCAGACAGCAGAAAAAGTGCCAACTTACAGTTAAAGAGGGAGTGGTTCTTTTCATCTGGGAGTTCTCCATACCAATAAAATCACTGGCCCAATCCCTATGCCTCTCCTCCCTGTGTTATTTATCTGAGCACAATGTCTTCTAATTAACAGATAACATAATTCTAAGTTTTCTTAGTTTTGGCAAACTCCATAAGATCACTTTGAGGACATTTCTATTCATTTAGCCAAATGTCCTTAATGAGATCCTTTGTAGCACAGCAATATAGTGTAATTTTAAAAAATTGAACTTAAGTGTTCAGCAAATTTAAATAAAGGATTCTTAAAAAGCTGGCTTCATACTCTGTTGGTGATTAACTGATGCTGTATGCAGCCCTTAGTTTCATGTAAATGCTGTACAACTAAAGTATTTCACAAGAAGATTTGATAATCAGGATTATACCATGTTCCAAGTTTTCGGATATGCTGGAAAACAAACATTTTCTAAAACCTTCAACACAGTGACCTGCACCATACTACCAGAATACATTTTATTTCCTTACCCTGGATTGTTATTAGATTGGCTAAAAAATAACTTGCATATACATAGCACTTGTAACTTTAAAAAATTATTTTGCATAAAATATCTCATTTTATCTTTATACCAGCAATGTGAGAGAGTTAGAACATGCAGCATGTGCATTTTAAAGGTGAATAAATTGAGTCAAAGGGAGGTTGGATCTTTCAGAAGGTTCTTCATTTAGTTAATGGGACATGTGATATATAGTGGAGAGAACAGTGAATTTAGGGTCACAAGCCCTGTTTGTAAGTTCTGGCTCTGCTTCTTAGTAGCTGTGAGACCTTAAGCGAGTCATTTCATCTCTTTCAGCCTCAGTATCCCCATCTGTAAAATATAGATAATAATACTTTTATTAAGTCATAGGTTTTTTGTGAGACTCATGTGAAATAATAATGAGTACTCCTTTGTAAGTGCTATATAAATGTCAGTTATTGCTAGAGAGGTGCTGTAGCATCAGGGATAAAGTGTTCAACTTGAAGTCAGAAAGACCTGGATTCAAATCCTGCCTCTGAGTGACCATAGGCAAATAATTTAATCTCAGATAAAGATGGGGAGAGTTCTCACAGGTCCCTGGTTTATTATTATTCAAGACTAAGTCAAAATTAAACCTGGTCCCCAGCTGTTGTGTCAACATAAAGCTTCTTACAATTGACTGTTCTGTTGAATGTGCCTTCACTTCTGAGTACAAACTTACAAAGTCCATGCTACCTTTCTTCTGTTACATTGTAATTCACAAAAGAATATAAAAAATTCTATTTTCTGTGTTAATAAATATTAGGTCACCTGAAGGGATGGCTAATACACTAAAACAGTCATTTTTCATTTTTGCCTGTGTATGACT